GACTGACTCCTTGACTTAGACCAGAACTGGGACTGTGCCTATTGACTTTACTTTCGGACAGGCACAACTCTCAACGAACAGACACACTTACTGCCTGAACAGACACTTTCCTTTGCACGAACAGGTACACTGCCTGCTCGTACAGACACACTCTTACCCGAACAGACATGACATACACATCTCCTGGTGAACAGGTAACCTTTGACAATGCCCTTTGCCTTGATTTAGATGTGCCTGTTGACAGAGAACTTGACCATTGACCTGCGTTCACGTTTCTGAGCCCTGGCGAGATACCTTTTCACAATGCTTTACTTTTACAAGGCCCGAGCTGCTTCACTTTTACAAGGCCTGAGGCCTGCATCGGGTAAAGGCCCTTTTAATAATAAGAAGAAGATGACATGAGTATTACATATCATGGCGTTGCCACCTTCCTTCCCACATTCCTCGATCAGAACTCCGTCGAGGATACTCAATCCTTCTCACTCGTACGCCACTCAGATTGAGGCCTATGTTACCGGGTACCCGGCTTATATACGTGCATTCATACGAGTGTAGCTCATAGCACCTGCGCCACAGCAAAAGGSTGTCAAAAACAGGTCTACATCCACGCTATTTTTCSAWTGCTGTACTTAGGCCCACRTACTGGCCAGGTAAATTCCTACGAGTGTAGCTCATAGCACCTGCGCCACAGTAAACCCGTCGAAAAACAGGTCTACATYCATGCTATTTTTCTATGCTGTACTTAGGCCCAAGTACTGGCCAGATACAAACTTATGATAATTTATAATCTAATAAATAGAATCATCAATATAAGAACCCCGATACATCGTATGCCGATTAAGCTGTTCCTGAACCTATACCAGGCCAAAGACATGTTCGTTTTTACTATGCTACCACAGTACGTAAACAGGATATCAAGAAATCCACACAATCGCACAAAAGGACATACGAGCGGGGCGCTGCGCGTGCGGGGGCTCCCTCTGTTCAGTACCAGAGCACATACGGCCAGGATACAACAGCGAACTACCGCGAAGTATACCTTACTTACCTTGCAACGCTTCGCCGGACACTCGTAACCCAAGCTGTTGTTTGAAAAAAAAAGAAAAAAAGGTGGCACAAGCTGGGCTACCAGCTGTGCTGCTCGGATACCCAATACCCAAAGCTGGCATGGGACCTGCCCGGGACGCCCGGCCGGGCAACTGACCCGGGCAGGGTCCCAGCCCATATCCCACCCCCCCCACCACCAAAAAAAAAAGAAAAAAAAAATTGAAATATGTTGTGCAGAATAGCAAACCAAACAACTTTTGGCTGAGGGTGACTTCCAAAATCTTCACAGAATTTGAAATAAAAATAATATAATGCAAGGAAAATCATCTCACCCCCTTTAAAGGCCTTTCAACCCCTTTCAAGCCCCTTTAAGACCCTTACCCCCCCCTCCCCGACCCTCCAAAACGACATGAACCAAAAAAAAAAAAGGACCGGATTTGGGTCCCTCTCGGAGGGCGCAAACATGCCCCATGATCAGGGAGCAAAAAAAATAGTTTGACTATTTTTTTTGCTCGCCCGGGTGACCCGGGCAAGAGAGTCCGTGCGGGTCTGGTAGCCCAGGGCACAAGAGCATACACCACCAGTCCATCCTTCGAGCTCTACCAATTTACCAAAATCAAGTATTGTGTGAGGTTAGTTATGCAATCAACCTCTCCTTGGATTGACAACACTGCGGAACTCAAGGTAGCACACTTACTATACGATACTCTTACCTGCTTATCCTACAATGAAGAAAAAAGAACGCCATAAAATCCAACAAATCCTTCCTTACAACAAGGCAACATTCATGCTTAAACCGCTAGTACAGGGCCCCAGCCTTGCAGAAAGATTTTTGTGACCACAAGCAAAACTCGGAGGCACCGCGCGGCCAGGGGCGCCGTTGAGAAACAAAATTGGCGGCCTCCGAAGTGGTGCGGGATTCATGCTGACACCCCCGGGCCGATGTGTGGTGTACTGGTGCTTTAAACCACCAGTACATGGCCCCAGGCAACTGGAGAACCTGTTTTGAGCCTCTCCGGAAATTTAGGAGGCCAAGCGCCATAGCCAAAATGAATCGGTGGCGGGCGGCCTCTGAAAGCGGCATGTGGCTGATAGGTGGCATGTACTGGTGCTTTAAGCAGTCGATTCAGACTTCCACACTCGTCTATTTGGGGACACCTTGTCCAGAGACATTTTCTCCTCCGTTGTCAAAACGAGTCGTCTATTCTCTCATTTCTGAAACCTTCGTTATTGTCCTTGGCGTCTAGAACTTTGAAGGCTTAGGCGCAGGAGACGTATACTGAGTTTAACAAGTTGTGTTCATACACGTGTTGCACTCCTCAATGACTACACACCATACATCCCATCTTCGTCGATGTATGAATAAAGGCAAAAGAAGTCAGAAAAAATTATGAGGCCTTGGATAGATCATGCCTCCAATTTCTTATCCATGTTTCGTCCCCTCCCTGCCCCACTCTCGCGCACCTGTCCCTCCCCTGGTGCCCACCAGAGTTCGCAAATAGGATTTTTAGGAATACCTGTACCTGACCTAACCACAGCCTCTTTGAAAACCAACCACCCATACCCACTGTATACCTGGCCTGCCGGACGTTTACCCATCTCCACCTGCTTAACAAAAAAAAAAACTATACCTAGACCTACCCTACCTGAACCTCTTCAGCATGTAATTGACCATACCCATCCATGAACAATTATTTTCAAAACAAACCGTGGCCACTTGAACCCAAACCGTTTGTTAACCACCCTTACCCTACCCTACCCAAGTTTTCTTTACCTGTACCCACCCGTACCTACCCATAATTATATGCACCCACCCGTAACCACCCGTGTTCGTCGTCCATCCTCCCCTAACTGCCCATAACCACCCCTAATTGTCCTTAACTCGCCCTAACCGTCCCTAACCGCCCCTAACTGTCCCTAACTGTCCCTAACCGCCCCTAATGTTTGTTTTTTTACCGCCCCTAATTGTCCTTAACCGCCCCCAACTATTCCCAACCCCCTATACGTCACAAGATTGACGTGGTAATTTTTATTATTCTTAATATTATTATCTTATTTTATTTTTTCGAGATGTGATAGCTGCTGCAGCTACTGCCCCCAAAGCAACATTTATTACATCTCGTCACTCTGATGCTGCTATGGATGCATCTGGTGCTACAACAACCTATGCAACCTGTATAGCATCTGCAC